CTTCTCACCTCTGCATCCTAAAGTGCTGGGATTACAGGCATGAGCCACAGCGCCTGGTGCCATCTGGCTTTTTACAGAAAAAGTTTGCTTACTCCTAGGTTAGACCTGAAGACATTAATTTAGTTTGCATTGTAGAATTTTTAATTGTGTAGTCTTTATTCAGTTAATAGCCTGGATTTTCTGTAAAACCTGACCTTTTTCTGTCTGGGCAGCTTCTCTCACACCCACTCACTCAAAAGTGGTACAAGCTCCTACTATTTACCCAGCTGTTCCATGTTTCCCTGCCTGGGAAAGGGCTGTCATCGGGAAAACTCGTGTTCATCCTTTTAGACCCTAGTTAAGAATCTCATGCTAACTCTGAAGTCTTTGTGGACTCACTAAGGCAAAATGAGCCCCCTTTTTTGTGGCATTGTTGTAAGGCTGCATCATATGGTTGGAGTTCCCAAAAATGGATGAACCAAGAAAACAGAGTGAGAAGGTGCTTAAAAATTGGTGTTTTTTTACTTTCAAATTTTTTTTTTTTTTTTGAGTTGAAGTCTCACTTTGGAGAGCAGTAGCACAATTACAGCTACCACAGTCTTGACCTCCGGGGCTCAGGTGATCCTTCCACCTTAGCTTCCTGAGCAGCTGGGACTACACCTGGTTAATATTTTGATTTTTTGTAGAGATGAGGTCTCACTATGCTGCCTAAGCTGGACTCAAACACCTGGGCTCAAGTGATCCTCCGGCCTTGGCCTCCCAAAGTTCTGGGATTACAGGTGTGAGCCATTGCGCCCAGCCAGTGTTTGATATTTTAAAGACAACATCAAAGTAGTCATTCATGAAAAAACTCAGTACTTTACTAGGATTTTTTATAGCAACTTCATAGTTTAATAACTCTTCATTTTTAACTACGTGAAAGTTAAATACTATAGGGGTAGATACTATAATCTTTTCTGATTTAGGAACCCAAATGATCTTAATCTGGCCCTATACTGCCAAACCTAACACACAGCTTTAATGTTCATTACATGGATTGCTAGGGGTTTATTACTTGCCTTTCCTACTGGGACTACAAGCTCTTTGAGGCAGTGACTATATCTTTTGTCTTTAAAAAAGTGCTGGGTCTCATAGAAGGAGACCCCTGAAATACTGATTAAATGAAATAAAACAGAATTGAATATATTCCCTAGGTCTCTTATGATATTATTACCTGATATAGAAATAGATCCCTGGAGGAAATATTCTTCATGATAGAAGTATGATTGATTGAAGTGTTAATTTTAGCAGGGGGTTTCAATGCTCAGATAACAAACACTGATTATTTCAATCCATATGTGAGCCATGAGAGACATGAAGTTTCTTATTTCTTTTCTCCTCTCACCATCATATCACTAAACAAGGAAACTAACATAATTTCCTGCCTTATATTAAGTAATTCTGAGACCAGGTAAATTTTTCGGTCCCAATGTTAAACAATACTGGGATCAGACAAAGAATTTAGCTACGTGAGGGGAATATTTGGCTCCTGGAAGCTAAGACACAGTTCAACTGAAACAGCTTCCATAACACTTCAAGTATCTCCCAACTATAAATTCTGTCATAAACTATGTCTATCCTGATCAGTTTCCCACCATTCAAAACCCACCTTAAAATTACCCAGTCCAGGTCCTAAAACCCTATAAATTATAAACACTGAACACTCTCCCCTCTAAATTTCCTTTTTTTCTTCTTTTTTTTAGAAACAGGGTCTCACCGTACTACTGGGCTCAAGTGATCCTGTTGCCTCAGCCTCCCAAGTCACTGAGAACACACCTGACTAATTTTATTTGTCTGTTTAGTAGAGATGGGGGTCTCACTATGTTGCCCAGGCTGGTATCGGACTCCTGGGCTCAAGTAATCCTCCCACCTCAGCTTTCCAAAATGTTGGGATTATAGGTATGAGCCATCATACGTAGCATACCCAGCTTAAATCTCCCTTTTTGAGACATTACGATGGCTCTGTCTGGGTGGTTTCATTTCTCTTATTGCAGGATGTCTAATAAGCAGCTTTGCTTAATAGATTTATCTGGTGGCCTGTTGGGGAAGTGACAGTTGACTAGATTTCTTATGGCTGCTGCTTCTTCCTACACTTCTTTCCAATACTTTGGTTTGAAAAAGTCTAAAGTTGTCAAATGTGTTTGTAAGGTTGGATTTGATTTGATTTTAGCCCTAGAACCAAATCAGCACACAGAAGAATGGAGCAAAAATTTCAGAGGCAACTTTTTAATGCTCCCACAGATTCCATATTTAGGAACACACATTAAAACTGCTATGGTTAACTAGAATCTCAAATGTTAGTTTCCTTTCTAAATTGAAGTGTATATGTAAGAGAAAGAAAAAACAATTTTTTCATTCTTTCAACAAGTATCTATTCAATGCCTCCTGTGAGCCAGGCCCTAGTCTAGGCGTTGTATGTTAGTGGAGGGAAATGAATGGGGGAAAAAAAGGTAATAAATGACACTATATAGAAAGTAAGAGATGTTATTTAAACAGTGATACTGAATTTAGAAAATAGCCAATATACAGTTCAAAAAAAACTTCAGAAGAGAACAATCTTTTTTTGAACTAAGCAATTTCCAATAGTAGCTGTTCTGCTGTTAAGAGAAACATCAAACCTGGCTAAAGGCTGGACGATGAGTAGGAGCTTCAGTACAAAGTGTCATCAACTCAATTTTGTGCCTGTCATCTCTTTTAAAAAAATCTGTGTCATCTGCACATAAAATATCATACTTAATACTTAATTAAAGAGAAAGAGTTTATGACAGATGCTAACATCTATAAATAAAGGCCAATAGGAAAGGGGAAAAAAAAAAAGCACAGCATTCCCTTCACCAGGCAAGGTCTGTGGCACTTCAGAACACCCAATTGTCAGGGAGTAAGCCAGAATGGTACTCTGAAACTCTGAATAGGAAATGATTTTGAATTAATTAATTAGGCACTTAATTGGGTAAATTACCATATGGCATCTAGAAAATATAATGAAAGACATGTATAGGCCTCCCCCCTTTTAAAAACTTCTGAGTTAACTACGTTTCAATTACTGTGAGAAGGGCATGGGAAACTCAAACCAGTAATCTTCCAGACTGACAGGATAAATTCCCCCAGAAATGGCCTCTGGGCTAATGAGTACTCACGGGATACCTTGGCAGTCTTTCAAGAATACCTAATACTGGCCTTCATTAACCTCCTGAGTAACAGCTTTCACATGCAGTCATGGAAGACTCTTCTGGGACACTGGTTGCACTTCCACCCATGCAGAGAGCAGTGAGGGTTTTAGCGATGGGGAAGGACTGGCCACATTAAACATGTGCACTTCAAGTCCATTTGTTTCAAGTACTCTCCATGCTTCATCAGCGACCAAAAATTAAAAATAAAAAAGAACCACAAAATATACCTCTCTTATTTTAAGAGGTATTTGAGAAGCACCTTTTAATATTCAAATGTCTCTGCTGTGAGCTCACTGACCCCAGCCAAATCAAGACCCAGGATGCTTCTGGGAGGGCCAGCTCTCAGCAGGCACATGGTGGATTCAGCGCTTAAAGGGGAAGGAGCAAGGTAAAAACACAGGGGATACCCATGTGTCTCCTTGGTCTCCTTAGTAGATATCTTGTTCCGCCAGCACTACAAAGCTGGGGGAAAGTGGTGATGATCAGAATTCAAATTTCAATTGTGTCACTACAGAGATTTTTTTTTTTCTCTTCTGGATTTTTCCTTTTCCCTCTTAGCCCTTATATCTATCAAAACCAATAATATTTTGGACATAGAAACCAACTCGAGAAAGGAGTAGAAGTACACATCTGGGCTGGCTCTTAAGCTTATTGAGGACAAGAGTCATGACCTATGGATTCTTGTATCTGTCCAGCCTAGTACAGTGCCTGGCTCATAATCTGCTGATTTGAATGGACAGGTGACAAAAGCACCTAGACCAGAATAGAGGTTGTGGTTGGGGAAGCACCTTGAAAATTTAAACATCAAACTCACCTTTGCTTAACTACCAGAAACAACTCTATTCATAAATAAATTCTTCTATAATTACAGATTCAAGAATTATTGATAACCAGAAAAAATCCACAGTGCAACCCAATCAGGAAAATTAAGCTATCTAAGCCTCACTACAAAAAACATTATTTAAATGAACAAATGTAATCTTTGTAGATTACAGCTAAAAATGCAATAGAGCGTCTTTTTTTTTTTTTTTTTTTGAGTTGGAGTCTCACTCTGTCGCCCAGACTGGAGTGCAGTGGCCGCTCCCAGTCACCGCAGCCTCAACTTGCTGGGCTCCGGCGATCCTTCCGCCTCAGCCTTCCGAGTAGCCGGAATTACAGGCGCGCGCTACCACACCCGGCTGATTTTTTGATTTATTGTAGCAATGAGGTCTCGCTGCCCAGGCGGGTCTCGAACCCTCAGGCTCAGGCAATCCACTCACCTCAGCCTCCCAAAGGTGCGGGATTACAGGCTGAGCCACCGAGTCCGGCTTAGAGCGTCTTTTAAAAATAATTTTGCTCTTATTTTTTATACGTCATGGTCCCTTTCCCACTATGATTTGAAAGCAATTTACAAAGAAAGCAGAGTGAGACACAAATGATTGTAGGGAGATCTTAAACTTGTAGTATGAAATAGGCGTATAGACCTAGGCTGTCAATGAGAAGTCATCAGGTGAAATTTATTATTATATATTTGACCTACTCCTGAATTAAATTAACACAGAGCTAAAGTATACAGTAGAATGCCTTTTTCTTGCTCAATCAAGTTCTACTGTACACTGTACTACTCATAGGTGAATTTCTCCCTTCTATATTTTAGCTGAAATAGGAAGGTTAGGACATTTCAGCACATAATTATTATAGAGAGAAGACAAAGGCATTAACAACAAATTTTGACAAATGCCTTCTTGAAAAATAAAGATGCGATTTCTGACCAAGTGGTCAAAAGGTGAGGCTCCATCTGGAGTAGAGCTCAAGAAACTTCTTAAACCTTACCTGGTTCTGTTTCAACGTGGACACGAGTTTCTGCAACGTTATGTTTTCTTCTTCCAATTCGGTATAGTCCTGAAGAAGCCGGGCCTCCCGGAATTTGTATTCTCGGATTTCATCCTTCATTCGTATTCTCTGTAGCTCCACCATCTCATTGTTCTGAAACAACAGAATAAACAATCAATATGAAACCTGTTTATTCTAGCTTTTATGAGGTGTAAAGTCCTGGTAGCTAAACAATCTAAAAGCAGTTGGTCGGGGAGGATGAATTGGTACTGCCATTTTTTGAATGGCAATTTAGTGCTATCTGTCAAAAATTTAAAAGCACGCATACATGGCCCAGCAACTTGACATCTAAAAATCATTCTTAAACATATGTTCATAGTGATAAGTCAAAAGAGAAATAAATCCATGAATATTTACACAATGAACTGGAACTAGTCTAAATGCTTGCTGTTTAGGGGAATGATGAAATAAATTACCATGCATCCACTGAAAGGAGCATTATAAAATTATTTTAAAAAAGAATAAGGAGAAAAACGAAAAGAAACTTTAATGCACTAAGATAGAAATATAGCCACATTATTATTATTATTATTATTATTGAGTTGGAGTCTCACTCTGTCATCCAGGCTGGAGTTCAGTGGCACACTCACGGCCACCACAGCCTCAACATGCTGGGCTCAAGCAATCCTTCCACCACAGCCTTCCAAGTAGCCTTCCAAGTAGCATGCCACCACGCCTGGCTAATTTTTTTTTTAATTGTAGAGAGGAGGTTTCACCAAGTTGCTCAGCCTTGTCTTGAACCCCTAGACTCAGGCAATCCTCTCGCCTCAGCCTCCCAAAGTGCTGGGATTACAGGCTTGTAAAAAGCAAGTTATAGATTAGTAGGCATATTAGGCTCCCATCTGTGCTAAAAATAGAAGGACACAGGCACACACACAGATATACACTTTTATATCATAAAAATATTTGTAAGAATACTCAAAAATCTGTCAATAGTGCTTATATAGAAAGCATTGGAGAGAGGAAAGCCATATAGATAAGCAGAGGAACCTATTACTTTGATTTTATATTTTTCCGAATCATTTGAATGTATATGTATTTACAACAAACATGTATTATCAGGTCTTATGTGCAAAGGTGCAGGATATCAGTAGAGCAATTAAGTAAAATATTTAAGTTTTCCCTGAAATTTGTGTGACAGTATAAGCTAGGTTTAGATAAAATTTATAATGGTTATATAATAGATATATACATCTAAACATATGTGATGGAGTACTAAAAAAACCCAGAATTTGTTTATTAAAAATTGGGTTTTATTCATATGTGTTTCAACTTCAGTCACTTTCAAAGTACTCTCTGGGATTCCCCCCACCCTCTCCAGTTGATGGAATACACCTATCAAGATGCTTTTTCCACTGCTCAAAATGGTTTTTGAACTTGTCAATTTGTATGTCTTTTCATACTTCTGCCGTTTTTTGCTTCGCTTCTCCCACACTGGCAAAATGTTTCCCTTTGTGGACTTTTTTCATTTGGGGAAACAAAAAAAGTCGCTTGGGGTAAGATCAGGTGACTAGGGAGGGGCACAGGGGTCACGCCATTTTGGTCAAAAACTGCTGAACATTCAGCACAGTGTGGGCAGGCGCACTCATAAATCACCCATTATGAAATGGGCAAACGCTTTGTAAGAATCTTTAAAAAAATTCACTGAAGCCGAACGCATTCTCTCACAACAATGTTAGCTGGGACAGTGATGCTGATGGGTTCCTAGAACACTTACCTAGCGGGGGAAGCCTATGCTATAAGGGACCCACCCTCCACAAGATAATTCCAGGTTTTTTGTGGGTCCCCCCTCGTATTCACAGTCGTGGAAAGAAAGGATATCAAAGTTTTGTTTTAATTTAGGATTCATTAGATTTGTTCCCTACTTAAACAAAGGAAAATTGTGGGGGGAAAGTACTGTAAAAATCAAAGATTGCATTTTCTTACTTCTTTTGAGGCAAGGGCTCACCCTGTTGTGCTGGCTGGAGTGCAATGGTGTGATCATAGCTCACTGCTGCCTCTAATGCCTGGGCTCAAGTGATTCTCCTGCCTCAGCCTCCCAGGTAGCTAGGACTACAGGCATGCGCCACTATACCTGGTTAATTTTTATTTTTATTTTTTGGAGAAATAGGGTCTTGCTATGTTATTGTCTAGCCTGGTCTTGAACTCTTAGCCTCGAGTGGTGCTCCCACCTTGGCCTCCCAAAGAACTGTGATTACAGCCGTGAACCACTATGCCCAGCGGCAAAGACCACATATTCTTATGCAATACTCCAATATCCATATGGGGGGGAAAAATGAATCATGACTGCATTTGACCATCAGTCTGTAATTTGCTGAGTCTTGATATGGTGGTATATATGATTGACAATGAATAAAGCACTGGTATTTGCTACATGGATGAATCTCACTAATATAATGTGGGCTGAAATAAGCCAAGAACAAAAGACTACATACGGTAGGTAAAGTTCAAAAACATACTACATCGGTTAGATAGTCTCCCTCAAAATATATGTTGAAGCCCTAACTCCCAGAGTTTTCACAAATGGAAAAATTTAAATGAGGTCATCAGGGTAGGCTCAATCCAATATGGCCAGTATCTTTACAAAATAGACACACTCAGAGGGAAGACTATGTGAAGAAACATAGGGGAAACAGACACACTCAGAGGGAAGACTGTGTGAAGAAACACAGGAGAATGATGGCCTTATGACAGGGTGGCAAAGATTGGAGTGATGCATCTCTAAGCCAAGGAACACCAAGGATTGTCAGCAAACACCAGAAGCTAGGAAGAAGAAGAGAAAGATCCTCCCCGAGAGTAGCCAGAGGAAGCATGGCACAGCCAACACCTTGAGTCCAGACTTCTGGCCTCTGGAACTCTAAGACAATACATTTCTGTTGTTTTAAGCCACTCAGTCTGTGGTGCTTCTTTACAGCAGCCTTAAGAAAATACAGCAGCCCTAAGAAAAGGATACACATGCAAAACTAATCTGTGGTAACAGACGTTAATGCAATATTGTTACAGTACCAGTAACGCTCAGCTGCTAACCCTGACACCAATAAATCAAGAGGCAGGAAATTGGTAGAAATTTATTTCTGAATTTGAATCCAGGGAGCGGAACGTGGCTCCTGGCTTTTCTAAAATGGTTCCTCTCACCCCTCAGGTTTTACGGTCCCCTTTTGTAAGTTCAGGGTTGTTGGTATCTATACATTGACTACGTGACTGGCAGAGCATTGTACAGAATTTAAGTTACAATCACATTTTGTTAATAGTGACATCTGTGGTCCACATTTCCCGGCATTGGTTACCAGAATTATCTCACAGTTTTTTATCAGTAACACCAGGCAGAAGTGTTAATCAAGTTTGCCATAGTGCGAAGGGAGTTAACAAGGCCTAAGACATCATTAGTTACTTCATTTGTATACATAAAAGCTATACAAATCACAAGATTTATGATTACATTGATACAAAGTTATTTAATTACATTGATACAAAAGTAATACAGATCACAAGACTTATGATTACCTTAATTTTGTATTATTCAAACCTATAACTACTAAGAAAAGGGAGTAAATGAGAATTTCTTTCTCTCAGTTAACTGGGCATAGCCTACAGGGAAGTCAAGAATTCTTTGAAGTTAGCAGGGAGCGCATAGGAAATAAGGGGAAGTACCCCTTTTGATAGCTCTCAGGAATGTGGGTGTGTGCAGGCCGGATCCCTCACCACACCCTTCTCTAGGGGCTGTGGCAATATGGACAAACAATAGTAGGTTTCCGTGTCAATATTACCTTTGCAGGAGGAGACATGACATCTGCAAGTCCTAGAAACACTTTAAAGGTCTCTGTCCTAGCAGAGAGCCATCCCTAAGACAGTACCTGATTCTCCTGTGTGTGCTTTCAAATGTCTCTCTTGTTGCTTCACTTTCTACAGATCTTGACTTCAAATAACCCCTGACTGGTTTTTACAGTCACCTCTGTCTGACATGGTGGCTTTTGACTTACTGACTTGGTCCCTGAGTACGGCTCTCCCTGCTTCTGTTTATGCTTATGTGAAAACAACAAATCGTGGGCGACCTCTTTGGGTCCCCTCTCACTGTGGGAGCTTTTCTGTCCTCTCAATAAATCCTGCTTTAAAAAAAAAAAAAGAAGCCAGGCTCAGTGGCTCAGCCTGTACTCCCGCGTCTTGGGAGGCTGAAGTGAATGAATTGCCTGAGCCCGCGGGTTCAAGACCCGCCTGGGCAACTTGGCAAGACCTCATCTCTACGATAAATCAAAAAATTACCTGGGCATGGTAGCGCGTGCCTGTAGTTCTAGCTATTTGGAAGGCTGAGGCAGAAGGATCGCTGGAGCCCAGCAGGCCGAGGCTGCGGTGGCCAGGAGCGGCCACTGCACTCCAGTCTGGGCAACAGAGTGAGACTCCGACTCAAAAAATAAATAAATAAATTAAATTAAATTAAAAATAAAGAAGACAACTATTTGTAAACTCATGATCTTTTACGTAAAAATGGAAAGCTCAGCTCCAACATGATTGAGTCAGGCTAATAAAAAAATCATTCTAAGGCAGACATTGCATTTTCTTCTTTTCTTCTTTGCGTTGGAGTCTCATTATGTCGCCCAGACTGGAGTGCAGTGGCCGCTCCCAGCCACCACAGCTCAACCTGCTGGGCTCCGGTGATCCTTCCGCCTCAGCCTTCCAAGTAGCTGGAACTACAGGTGCGCGCTACCACACCTGGCTAATTTTTTTTGATTTATTATAGAAATGAGGTCTCACCAAGTTGCCCGGGCGGGTCTCGAACCCGCAAGCTCAGGCAATCCACTCACCTCAGCCTCCCAAGGCCCAGGATTACAGACTGAGCCACCGAGCCCGGCTGACATTGCATTTTCTAAATAGTGGTTGTTGACTCTGGTTCAAAGACAGATGTGAAAAAATAATTATTCTGATACTTGTTAAAATGATAAGGAAAACTTCATTCAAGACCATTGCAATTGAAGGGAAGAGAGATGGGGCTCAACCTTGAAACACCAAGGGAAAGTAGGAATTTATAGCCAAGGATCGGGGTAAGGAGATCAGTGGATGGGAAATTACTAAAAGGAAACACTTACTGTTAAGTTGGC